CAACTGAAGACAGCTGCAGATAGAGCCTGGCAAAGCATCAGAAAGGAGGAAACCCAGTCTCTGGTAATGTCCATGGGTTCCGGACTTCAGGCAGTCATGGCCAGTAAAGGATTCTCAACAAAATATTAAAATGAACATTTTATTTAGGATTATATTCATTTGTCCAATTACATTTGAGCCCCTGAAAATGGAGGGACTGTGTATAAAAATAATTGCAGTTCCTAAAATGTGTACTTCATATTTATGTTCAGCCCCTTGAATTAAAGCTGAAAGTCTGCACTTCAAATTCATTTAGATTGTTTCATTTTAATTTATTCTGGTGGCATACAGAGCTAAAAGTATGAAAATTGTGCCTGTGTCCAAATATATATGTACCTAACTGTATGTAGTTTAGTGTCATATTAATAGGCTCATCTGTAAAAAAAAAAAAAAAAAAAGTTTTCTTTTTTTTTTTAATAATTGTTAAACATTACAGTTTCTTTATACAGTGGTATCCATGATAATACAATTGTGGTACAGGCGTTTTATTTACCTTAAGGAAAAAATGCTTGATTCATTAACCCATTAACCACTTGCCCTCCTGAGAATTTACCCCCCTTCCTGACCAGGCCATTTTTTTGCGTTACGGCACTGCGTTACTTTAACTGACAATTGCGTTGTCATGCAACGCTGCACCCAAAAGAAATTTACGTCCTTTTTTTCCGATGAATTGAGCTTTCTTTCAGTGGTATTTGATCGCCTGTGCGGTTTTTATTTTTTGACCAACAATATTTTTGACTTATTGCTATTAAAAACGTCCCAGAAAAAAAATTTAAAAAATCTAATTTCATCATAAATTTAGGTCAAAATGTATTCTGCTAAATGTGTTGCTAAAAAAAATCCCAATACATGTAAATTAATTGTTTTATGTGAAAGTTATAGCATTTATAAATGGCAGTATAGATACTGGAATTTTTTTAAATTTATTACTAGTAATGGCAGCGATCAGCAACTTATAGCGTGACTGCGGTGGACATTCTGGCACTGGGAGGAACTGACTTGGTGTCACTGACATCCCCAGTGACACCAATACAGTGATCAGTGCTACAAAATAAAAGCACTGACACTGTACTAATGGCACTGGGCAGGAAGGGGTAAGCACAGCCATCCAGAGCAGTGTGCCCGAGCTGACAGGGAGGAGGACTGTTAGTAAACAAAACAGTCCTTCTCCCCGTCGGAGATGCTCGGTAATCACCGGGCGCCCGGCCGTAATCACCGGCTGGTACCCGGTGACTGACAGCTGCGGCTGCCAGTGGCAGCACGGGTAGAGAGTGTGCACGACTCACACGTGCCCCCTACCCGGAATTGCAAAATCATGTATATATATGTGATTTTGTGCACCCCTGCCACCCTGTAGCAGTATATCTGCTATAGGGCGGCAGGAAAGCGGTTAAACAGCACTATAAAAATAGAAATAACCATTCAAACTGAATTTCTATGAGACAAACAGGTTCCCTTATAAAGCTATTTTCAGTGCTTACTGCTGCAAATAGCAATCCTTATAGCTTAAAGAATTGGGAAACATATTAAAGTAGAACTGCACTCTGGCGATCAAAACTGACTATTTTTAATCCTTATGCTGCTAGTATTAGTAAATAGATAGCAAAGTATATCATATTTTCTTGTTTTAAACTTTTTTTTTTTTTGTACATTTCTTCAGTTACTTCCTTGCCTAGACAAATTATATCATACATCCCAGGAGTCTTCAGGAGGGGAGGAGGAGCCTTCTCAGCTAATCACACCCTCCTGCCTGCATGACTGAGCTAAGGGCAGATGGATTCCAGGAAGTAAATGCTACAAGAATCATCTGCCCTTACTCAAGATGGCCAGAGTCAGGAATGCTAGGGGGTGTTTTTCAAAATGATTTCTCAGCAAAATAAAGCATGAAGACATGGATGGATGGGTGAATTTGCTTTGAATATCAAAAATGAATTAAAAAGCATTTTTAGTTTGTGGTGCTCAGATACAGTGTAGTTCCTCTTTAAGTAAGGTCTGTTCTAATAGTCTTAGCTCAGTAATGAAATCCCTAATCATGTAATCAGAATCGAATCAACTCTTATGAATTAATTAATAAGGATTTGCTGCCACATAAGATGTAGTCATTTCTGATATTAGATGCACTCGTATATGAAGTAGATGACGTTCACTAGCAGGTAGACACCAGCTTTTGAACAATATATGAAGCAGATCTGTTTCATGCCTTACATTTGTATGCTTTTGCAAAGAACAATGCCTTGCTTTACATATGAAAACCAATTAGATTTCAGCACTCAGCAGGGTAGGCAGTCAAGCCAAAGAAATACTATTTCTGTCTAGTTACATTTATTGCAAATTTAAATTCTGTTCAATGATTTACTCTATTAAATTAGGACCTAGAGGCCCTCAGAATCCAAGGAATACCTTTAGGGCATAGGCCTGAACATGGTTCACACATCTTCACCTCATTCTTTGTAACTTCCATCTTGTTGCTTGGACAAGCACGAACACAAGAATTCTGATCCACCACAAAGTTATCTAGGGTAAGCAAAAGGCACATATCCTCTTAACAACTACCATATCAGCAAGACAAGTATAGTTATAAATACAAAAAAATGAAATCCTAATGTAGCCAGTACAAGAACATGTACACAGAAACACCTTAATATAATCATTTTAAAGCGGTTCTAACGTCAAAACATTTTTTTTTACCTTAATCCATTCCTAATTGCACTAACTGATCCCCCAAACCCATCCCTAAACACTACCTGAATCCTTTTACTGCTCTAGCACTGTCCCGGCTGCAGCACTGCTCCCCTCACTTCTTGGTCTCCTGCTGCTGTCAGTAAAACTCATGTGAGGAGGGAGAGGGGGTGTGGCTTGCCAGCGTCTTGTGTGTCTATGGACGCGCACAGCCGAACTCAGGAGCATGAGTGTATGGGTCCCCCCCTTATCATCTGGCTTGCTGAAGAGGGACTTGAAAGAAGGAGGAGTGGACAGCGTTGTTGGGGGGGCTGCCAAAGAGGAGGTAAGGGACCACTCTGTGCAATATCAGTAAGTATAACATCTTTTTTATTTTAACACAAAAAAGTAGCCTTTAATATTACTTTAAAGCATAACGTTCATACATATATGAATACAATACTGCTTGGAATAAGTTACTGTACTTTACCATAGCAAGTACATCAAAATATATGTTGATCCTTTCAGAAATCCAGTGAGCATCTTACTTCATAGAGTAAGTTTACACCACAGTGCCTCTGCTGCACTGAAATGCCAGGCAGTATTATCAGCCATGCCCAGCTCCTCTGTACTGGACAACAGAACATCTCCCATTCTACCCATTGTCATAGCAAAACGGGATGGTGAGCAGTAGTCCAGCATAGGTGAACTGGGCAGGGCAGACAGCACTGCTTTTGAATCTGGACAGTGCAGCAGAGGCAGCGCTGTCAGCTCATAACCAAAAGTAGCTCACTGAATTTCTGGTAGAATCAACAGGTTTTTTTTTTAATTATGTGCTACCTGCTTTTTTAAAAGACAAAAATGTGAAAATATGCATGTATTGCAGAGAAGGAATAAAAGCCTTTTTTTTTATTTTGCTCTGATATACAATTTAACAAATAAATCCAGGGCCGGGACAAGGGGTTGGCAGGAGGGGAGGCTGCCCTGGGCATTGTGGTATCATGTGAAGTGGAGGAGCACCACAAGGAGATTTGTAGGGGAGGATTTGTGTTAGAACGGGGAATTTGGGGGGCGGCAGGGATTAAGAATTGTTCTAGGAGGGCAAATTTGGGGAGTGGTGATTTGAGGGGATTTGTGTTGGGAGGGGGGAAGAGGATTTGTGCTAAAAGGGGGGATTGGGGGGGGGTTGTGCTAGGAAAGGTAATATGGTGGGGGGGCGAATTTGTGCTAGGAGGGGGACATTTTTTGGGGGGAGGGAATTGTGCTACGAAGAGATTTGTTTTTGGAGGGGGGGGGGATTTGTGCTAGGATAGAGAATTGGAGGAGGGGAATTTGTACTGGGAGGAGGGGATTTGTAGTGGGGGGAAGAGGATTTGTGCTTGGCGAGGATGTTTGAGGGGCAGAGAATGTGTACTAGGAGAGGGACATTTTTTTTGGGGGGGGGGGATTTGTGATGGGCGAATGGGGGGGGGCAAAGATGTGTGCCGGGAGGGGGAGTTCAGCAGGGCAGCAGATTTGTACTGGGAGGAGGGGGAATTTATGCTCAGGGGTAAGCATGCAGATTAGTGCTTGATTTTTTTTTTTGGGGGGGGGGGATTTTTGCTGATACATAATGCTCATACATCTGCAAAGGGGTGGGGGGTGGGGCTGCAGCTTGGCATGGCATGCAGTTTTACCTTGTCCCAGCACTGAATACATCCATCAGTTTCATATATGTCAGGCCAACATAAAAAAACATGCATCATTGTAATACATGTAAATTTCTGTATGTTTTATCATGTTAAAGACCTGGCAAGTTCAGAAATATACATTCAGAGTTGCAAGAAATGGCCTGACACCTAAGTCCCTTTTTTTTGGGACTTAAATCACATTAAATAGTGTCAAGTTGTCTCTTGCTAAAATACTAAATCCACCTCCTCAACTCATCTCCACAATATAGAGAACAATGTTGTCTTTACACCATTAGAATTTCATTTGAACATTTTGAGTAAAGAAGTAAAAGAATCGATTATCTGACTATTCAATGGTGCCAGGGACTCAACTAACTTCTAACAACCTTTCATTGGAGTACCATATAATTTCTTGATTTTTGTACAAATGTCCTGCTTCCAAATTAACTTTGACGAGTACATGTGCATAAAGACTAGTTACAATTTTTCTTGGCCAGGAGCAAAGTTAACTATTAGTAATGTATTTATTCCCATTTCAATCCTTCTTCTTCAATTTTTTTCACTCGCTCTGGTTGAACCGTATTGTCAAATCCCCCTTTTTATCTCTTTTTAGATAATTGAAAGAACATTCAGAAAACAACAACTTTCGGACAAAATTCTACAGGTGTAAGACCAGTTTAACTGTACTGTAGTCCGAGATAAGAACTGACATGGCTAATTAGGCAAGATCAGTGAGTATTTTTAGGCTCTTATCTAACAGATATACCAAAATTCTTTCGTTGTATATTTACCAGAGCCAAAGGGAGAAAATCAGAGAAGGTCATTGTAAGGGTTTACATTCACTTTATGAAACAACCATAGGCTTATTCCCAAAGGCAATGGAGAAAGTAGTGATGATGTACTAAGTGTAGTAACCAATTGCAAGAAATTAGATTTCAGTTTATTGTAGTTCCATGAAACGTATGGGTCTCTGCACTGCCTTACTGCATAGGTCCCCCAATTTTGTCTACTAAGTATGAGAAATATATCAAAACTAGTTAGGAATTCAACAAAGCAATATACTTGGCTATAATATTATTGAAATGTCAGACTATAAGGCTAATAGGTCAAATTATCATTATAAATCTGCATTGGTACACATCAACCTGTCCTCCTACCATAAAATATGCATAATATATACATCAACTCCTGTACAGTCATTAAAAATGCTCGTATATTGTTTTACAGACGCATCCTACATATCAATTGTCTCCAAACTATGGCCCATGGGCCACATGCAGTCTATGCTTCTGTAGACCCTGATGTAAGTGGATGTAAGTAATGGAGGGAGGGGGACTTCTCATCTAAAAAGGTTGAGTTGATGTTGATGGGGGGGGGGCTTCTCATCCAAAAGGGGATCTGATGTGAAGGGGGGGGGGCGGCTTTCATGTACTGGGGAGGCTTCCGATGTGAAGGGAGGACTTATAATGTGATGGGGGTATCTGAAAAGAAGTTATTTCTTAGAGCGTGTTTATTCATTAATTTACATTTTATTGATTCATTTATAAAGCAGATTGTTTTTTTTCAGCCTGTGAATATTTGTAAAATTTACAACGTGACCCTAGAACTAAACATTTTGGAGACCCCCTGCTATATATGCTTATTGTTGTTTTTTTCAGGTTTGGGCCAATGAATATCTTTATGTGCGCTTTCCTGGATGCGTTTGTATCACTAAGTGTATTTGCTGTCAATAAAAAGGCCCTTTACCTAGTATTTTCCTCCCTGAAGGTAGTCACCTTACTTTCGCCATATCATCTGTTGTCATTATCAGCCATATTTAGTACTTTGCATTTCTCAGTCCTCTCTGAATTTTCAATAAACTGCATACAAAAATTGTACTTGTATAGAAAATATGTCCCTGCCTATACATACGGGGGCAGTTCTTGACACATGATCCTCCATATTGGAATTTAGCATCAGGGCTGTGTTCCATCTGACCGGTCACGGGGTTGTAAAACAGCTGAGAACATCGGGGTACACAGGTTCCATTATCATTAAAGTTGCGACAAGACTGTATGAAAAAAAAAAAGTTACGTATGATGATGTGGAATTTGCTCTGTATGTAACTTGTCTCTGTTGATGCCTTGACAAATGTATGTACTACTTTATTTGCAAAAATATTAACGTTTGATTACATTAAAAAAAATGTTACGTTAAAGGACATATTTGGTTGAACTCAGTAGGCACTGACTGTAATTCAGGGTGAAGTACTTACAAAGCACTGAGTGTTTAAGGATCCAGTGCAGCCCCCTGCACACTCATCATGGCAACATTCTGTGGGTGCCTGTCCATAGCAACGGCCATTGCACTGCTGCGCACAAATGTTCTTTGTCACTGCAGAAAGAAAGAATACGGTAGATTGCCTATAAATAAAAAATCCCATAATTCTGCTATAACAACAATTGGCATAAGACATTACCTGCATAGGTAATACTGCCAGATCTAAGAATGACTTCCAATCACTACATTTTACAATCAAGAGTTGAAACAGAATTAACCCCCCGCCACCAAAAAAAACAAACAAAACAAAAACACTAAAAATACATACATATATATATATATATAATATATATACAGTTGTGACCAAAATTATTCAACCCCCAATGCTGTAAGGGGTTTAGGGACTATAGTGTACATTTGGAATTGTATTCAGAATCAAATCCTACAAGGACGTTGTAACTACCCAAATGCAACTAAAATGACATCAATTGTTTATGTAATACAGTAGTAAATGGTTCTTATGTGGTTTCTTCATTGCCACAATTATTCAACCCCTTAAAGACTACCACTCTGAAGAACAGAGGTTCATACAGGTGCTTTCCATCAGGTATTGAAAACACCTGTGGATGTCACCGAGCAGCAATCAAGCATAATAAGCACCAATTAGGCAGCTTTAAAATGACTGTGATACTCAGCTCCTTCTAGACATTTACTGGTGTGGTTACAAACATGGTGAAGGCAAGAGAATGGTCCAGGAAGACAAGAGAAGAGGTGATTTCTCTTCACAGGAGGGCAATGGCTATAAGAAGATTGCAAAGATGTTAAACATACCAAGAGACACCTTAGGAAGCATCATTCGCAAATTCAAGGCAAA